GGCAGGCAGGCAGGCAGGAAGGAAGGAAGGAAGGAAGGAAGGAAGGAAGGAAGGAAGGAAGTTTTTAAAGTGCCATTCAAAATTTATTCTGAATGACATGCTTGATAACCTTTAATAATTTTTTTCATCATCATGGACTGGGAGATCTGTTTAGCTGATAAATTTAACCTTTTTGTTTTAATCTGGACACTTCAAAGAAACTTGTTATCCAGTGTCAGATGTCAGCATTCTCCAGCTCCTGGCAAAATAGATTCAGTTCTTCCCATCTCCACTACAGAAGACATTTCCTATATACTTCATGCCTCTTCTCTACAGAATTCTCACCAGTATTTCCAAAATAAAGAGCTGCGGTTTAGTGAGTTTCTGTTTTTCATGTAAAAGATCATATGTTTAAACCTTGAGTTATCCAGATAAGAATGAGAGGACTCTAGTGTGAAAACCTGAAGAGCTGCAACCACGTGGGCCAGTGCTATCAGTTAAGATGAGGAACATTCCGTGATCCCATTCTGTGACATTGGATCTTTGTTCTGACAAATCATGTGAAGTTATGAAAAAGGTGTTGTTGCCAAAAGTGTCCAGTGCATCTTTAAGTTTGCTGTACTTTGTTTCTTCTATTATGGGGTAAGGCAGCAAGCAAGAAAGCACACATACAAGAAAAATGGGCAGGTTTGTCAGAGCAGAATACACTACACAAATTTAAATCATAACCTTCATTCCAACTTAGCTGCTTTCTCTAGAAAAATTCCTGGGGGCACAAACAACTGAATTATCTTGGGGTTAACTGCTTAAGGGTCACATACTAAAGGATGCAACTGGAGCCAAAAAGTGCCACTTCCATTCTTTCGGCTATCCCCTTTTTCTCTCTTCCCCTTTTTTTCTTTTTTTCTTTACCACTGTGTAAGGAGGACATATTACTCGTACCAGTGATCTGAACTTACTATTTGCAGGAAGTTTTTACAGTAAGACTAGAATCTCAAACAAGTTCAAGTAAGGCTGAGGACCACATTTCTCCACAAGATGGTGTATTTTTAATTACAGATGCATTATTATCGTTTACTTGGACCTTTATGTAAAGGAGTGATGTATCTGTCTTGCCTCAAAGCAAGCAAAGGAGAAAAGTGAACAGCCTAACCTAACAGTAAACTGGATAGAAGTAGTGGGAGAAAGGCCTACTTCACACATTAAACTAAGCCGTAATGTCATTTGTTTAGCTTATGTGTGAACATAGCCAGTGGCTGTCTTCACACAACACAATAAGTGATTAATTGACAAGCATACATGTGCTACCAGCCTACTAACCTTCTCTCCAGAATGTGCATAGTTCTTTAATCAAAGCGCAAGGCTTCCCACGTTCTAACCCTGAGAGGCTACCATTTGGAGATTACAGAAACAGAGATTTGAAGCAAAGGCTTGCCTTTCATACATCCAAAATGGTGGCTGCTCCAGGTTGGATGACGATGGAAGCTTCAGTGTTTCATTAAAAAGCTTTGTATGATGAGAAGTGGATGTTGTGAATTCTTTATGATGATTAGACATAACGCAACATGCAAGAGCCTTCTGGTGAACCAGGTCAGTTTTTATTTTTAGCAGTATCAAGGATAGAAAGGAATTAGTTTCTACACAAGACTGACTCTTTCAGCCTAATAATTATGCAAGTGGGATTCAGCTAATGTATACAAATGTAGCTTCAGTTCTTGTTACCTTCTTTCTTCAGAGAAATGTAGAAAGTAGCTAACTGCTTTATGGCTTCTCTCCCTTTAGGATAGATTAACAGTTTCTTCACCAGCAATAGCCCTGCTTCTACTAAAATGACAAGAACCTATCCTAAAATATTTCCCCAAAGAGATAATAAGGTGCTTTACTTAAAACTTAGCTGGCAATCTCTTTATGATTGGCACAGCCTTAATCTTCTTTCTCTTGTCTTTGGATCACCTTCTCTCTCTAGAAAACTGCACCAGGTAAAATAGATTTCCTGCCTTGTCATTCTTCTCCTAGTGTAGCTAACTATTCAGTGATCTTGAATTTCCTGGAAACTGCATCTCTTCAGCAATCTTACACTGCCTAATTCCATCCTAGCTTGCTAGATGTTTTTCTTCTCTTGTTCTAAGTCGAACTCCAGTACTGCTAATGTTCTGCTAGTGTAATGGAACGTATCTACGAAGAGGAGGGTGATGTGAGAGATCAAGGCTATCAGGAAGGAGGGGATGCATTCCAGGAAGGAAAAGGAGACAAAAGACAACACAGTCTGCAGGAGGAGCGTGAGAAGCAAAACAGGTTCAGGATAGCCACTCCCTAGAATCTCCCAGGGTATATCCACTTGTTGCAGTAGTATAGATTTAGTCTGGCAAGATTCTGTCTATAAGGTGTAAGCAAATAAAGGAACTTTACTCAACTGGACGTTTTTGCTGTTGCTCTTGGGCTGGGCCTGACAGCTAGCTCCTTAACCCATTTCAGTTTCCCTCCCTGTGAGAGAGATGGTATTTGTGAAAGCCTTTATTTGTTCATCTTTCAGCTATTTCCGAAACTCAAGTTATCAGCCACAAGTCTGGGAGATCATGTAACAGGATGACTGATGGTATTTATCTTCTCTGTTCAGTCATGCAAGATATACATGCTGAATAACTGGACTTTTTGGTTTAGTGTGTTATGTAAATATAATGTGATTGCAATAGTGGGGTGGATTCAGATAAAAATGGAAGGACGTATGTTTATGTTGAAATTCAAGCCCACCTGCTTGCCTTCTTTATAGAGTTTGCAGTAGCAAATACGATGTATAAATGGTTCTCAACTATATGCCTATCTCTTTTATATTCTAATCCTGATAGATACAAAAAGAAAGAAAAATCTTCTTGGAATTTATTTCAGCAGGCATCTTAGTAGCCCAATAGCAGCTCCCATACTTTTTTCTTGCCTCTGGAATATTTGCTTTTTTATAGTTGAACAAATTATGTGTAATTAATATATGAGGGGGAAAACATGACAAATACGTTTTAGAGGAAATGTACAGTAAATCATTTGTTATACAATAACAATGAAAAGGGCATCCTGCTTAGAACCACTTAGAGAATCAAGCCACACATAGGCTTGAGTAGGTCAGTGTATGAAGTTATCAAGGGATCATAGTCAAAATTCAAATGATACCAAAGTGGAGTCAGGCCCGAAATATCACTGTGACCAAGGAAAAGGAAAATAATATTGTTGGCAATACTGTAGTCACCACAAATAGCCAATTAGTTTGTGATTCAGTGTGTCATGCAAACCCAGGAAAATAAATTAATTGAATAAGCTCTGGGAAGAAGTTTAGTTAAACAATACCAAATCAATATAAAAATAAAATTTAAAAAATAATGAACTCAGCTTGATTATATCATACAAGCACACCCAGTGACCTGAGTGAAAGCAGCAGGAACCAATGAGAAGTATAGAGATTAGTAACAGAAGAGATTCAGTTAAAAATAGAGAAGCCCAGGCTTCAAATCTGGCCACTTCATATATATATTACTTAAAGAATTATCATCCCTGAATTAAAGTTTTTTAAAACTCTCTTTCAGAGCAACACCAAGAGTCAGCTACAGTGGTTAGCTTTGATTTCAAGGAATTAATTATTAAAAGAAGAAATATACTCCCAAGTAACCCTTTATTAGTAATGTTCAGGAATCAGTGTTAAGCAGGAAAGAAACTACACTTGGTCTTAGCCAAAAGGACCAAGAAGCAGTAAACTATAGTCTTGTGAAACCTTAAAAGTAAGGCAAGAACTCTTTTGCCTTGTAGCTGCCTGAACCTGTGTGATTTTCCAGAGGTTCCTCTACCTTGGACAATGTCCTGACTAAATTTTACCCTATTTTATTTAAACCTAAAATAATATAAAATGAAAATGTTGCTGAAAAAGGAAAAGGAGAAGCAAGAACATTTATTTCATATTCAAAACAGCTAAAAAACCGGGGAAGGGGGGCAAAATTGCTTGAAAATCATTTCTTGAATCTATGTTGGGAAAAAGTATTCAAGTGCGGAGAGATTCATATATTAATAATTGAATGTTGTAAATCAGGTGTAGAATGTTCCTTCCCATGTTGTATGATCGTTCTTTTGGCCATTGTTGTCTTGATAGATTCCAAATGCTAGGGATATCACCAAGCAAAACATATACATCCTTAATCAGCAACAATCTTTCTAAAGTAATGCTAACAATCCTATAGTCTTTAGCCCAAAATGTAGTAATGATAGGACAAGTCCAGACCATTTGTTCTAAAGTCTCAATCTGTAAACTGTAGTATCTCCAGCAGCAAGGTGATTAGATCTAATTCTTATCACCTTGTTCCTAGAGGTGTCCAGAAAATACAAACTGGATTTTTATTTTATAAACCTAATTTTCAATCAAAACAAATTGATTTCACATTCTTGAAGACATCCTTCTACAAAACAGAATACTCAGACTCACTACTGTATTTCTAAATATATGTAAATAGTTAATAATAATTTTATACATTTCTTTCAGTTTCTTTTAAAATTGGTTTACTAGTTTTAGAACCCCAACTATTTCCTCCACAGCTGCTAAAAACTGTAGAATTTCAGAGGTAGCAAAAGTTGAATAAATTGCCAAGAAGCACTCTTAAGTAAACCAAATTTTGTTTCAAGTTCTACAAAAGTTTTAAAAACAATTAAAAACAGCTGTCTTAAAAACAGATATATCAGTTAACTGAAAGTATAAGGAATGCCACACTGCTAGAGAACCTATGGTAGGTTATTACCAGAGTAATATTAATATTAGAGAAAATACATCTGGCATTAAAATTATTCATGATTTTGCACATGTAAAATCAAAATAGCAATTAATTTTGGCTCCTTTAATATTGGAATATATTATATAATTCCTCAAATTCCCAGCCAGGTTGGCCAAGGTCCATATATTTAGTACTGATCCAACCAGCTGTTGTAATTAGAGATTGTATTCAGTTGATCCAAATAATCTAGAAAAATGACCTTCCTGTCAATAGCATGGCAGGTGTCTAACAACAACAACAACTGGAGGACCACTTGAATATCATCAGCATTGACAAAATCACCATCAGTTAATTGCAAAAGGCAGCTTTACTTGGAAAAGCTTATATCCTGCGACAATACCTTTTACACATCAAACAACAACATCTGTCTCTCCCAGGTCTTTGGGAAGGAATCAATAGGTGGATAAAAATGCCAAATCCAGTCTAAAGATCTGGCTGACTGTGTGACCAACTATAATAATAATATCACCAAGTTATGCCATTATCCCAGCTCTATAGTTGGGCAGTACCTTTACTTGGACTGATCAAAATGCCATAGAAAAATCATAGAATTGGGGTTGGAAGCAATCTGGTGTTCATCTAGTTCTAACCCTGCCCAGTGTAAAAATCCATTACTACAGCATCTCTGACAATTGGCCATCCAGCCACTATTTAAAATCTCCAGCAAAGGAAACTCCATCATTTCCTGAGGCAGTCTGTTCCATTGTTCAGTCCCTCCCTCTTGCTGTTAGGGAGAGTTCATGCCTTCAGGTTTTCCAGAACTCTTTATCAGGCAAGATTTTACAAAATATAAGGGAAAGAGAAGAAGAAAAGAAGTCCAGAAATTAAGCAAGAGGGTTTGTGGTTCAAAGTCAGTCCAAAGATAAAGGTTATGGATGAATGCAGAGCAAAGTCAGTGCTGGTTGGTAAAGACAGAACCAAAAGGACCATGGTTCAGTGGTAGAGCATATGTAGTTTCCACACAAAAAGTCCAAATCAAATCTCTGGAGTCTAAACTCTGGATAACTGCTGCCAGTTTATATAATACAGTATATTGAGCTTTTATAAGGCAGTTTCCCATGCAAATGCTGTACAAAATATACAGCTTGTGCACTTAGAACAAGAGCAACTCAGGATATAGCTGACCATGACAATTCTTGAGTTCTCTCTCAAGCACACTCAGCCGTTCCTGTGATATTGCACAATATTTTTCAAAATATGTTCTTCTTTCTCTGTGTGGTTTGTTTGGCTCTAATAAATATGTCTGCATCTATTTTGCAATTTTTGTTAAGTTCCAGTTCCCCAAGTCCCCTTCTTTCAGTTACCTGAGCACTAGCCATGCTGTAAAACAGGTATATTAAAAGCACCTGGCAAAATTTGGTAGAAATTGCAGTTTATACAGTTATCACCAAAAGCAGAGATTTAGAGAAAATAAAATCTCTGTGCAATGAATTACATTTCCAAGCTGAATTTTTGCAAACTAAAATAATATTGAATGAGTCACAGTCTGACCAAGAAAAATTGGACCTCAGCAGCTAAAGAAGCAACACTGCTTTATATACAAGTAGTCCTGGCTTACTGACTGCCTTGTTTAATGATGGTTTGAAGTTACAGTGGTGTTTAAAAAACAGATTTGTGACCAGTCCTTGCATTTACGACCATTGCAGCGTCCCATGGTCATGTGATTGCCATTCAAGCATTTTGCGATTGGTGTACACTTATGACCATCACAGTGCCCGGTGGTCATGTGATGGTCATTCTTGTGCTTCACAACCAGCTTCCAACAAGCAGAGTTAACAGAGAACGTGGAAGTAAAGTTGAAAGTCGCAGTCACATGATATCTTGCTTAATGAACATGGTGATTTGCTCAACAACTGAATGGGAAGTGGCATCATAAGTCCATCGCGGTCACATGATTTTCCGCTTAATGACTGCAGTGCTTAGTGATGGAGTTGCTGGTCCCAACTGTAGCCAATAAGCATGGACTACCTGTAATGTCACTGAGCAACATTTAATTATGATTCTCTTTGGAAGAAGAGGTGATTGTTTTCATTGTTTCATTGTTTTCTCTATTTTTTAAAATTTGTTTTCAAGTAACTTGGTTGAACAGAAGAAGTAGGACAACATAACACTCCACTATACCTTCATCAGAACCCTAGAGACAGGCATCTTTGCCTCCTGGAGCTCTGCCTCTTTTTGCATCATTTAGTGCCTCTATTTCCCAAATAAAGAACATATACACATAGCAAACTTGATCCCCTCCGCCCCCGCTCCAGTTCCAGGAGAAAATTTTCTCCAAAAATGCCTCCTTTTTACAGATTCAGATTTCAAATATGTATTAATGGGGTCTGATTGGGGGAAACAAAGACTCATGATAGATATAACTCAGTTAAAATGGGAATCATGGGGGAGTATGTAAAAGAGAGAATAAAAGAGCATGCAGTGAGATGAGGTTTAGATGTGGTTGTTCAACTTTCTACTCAAATGAAAGAGTTCTTACAAATCCATGATTGTCACTGCAATTAATTCATAATTTATGAATGCATACATATTGGTGCAGATGGGCAGGGCCCATTGTTAATTAGGCTGTTTCTGTAATTACTTGACTGTTGATCAGTTGCCTGTCCATGGTGGCAACCACTGAGGGGCTGGTGCTCATTGGAATGTACTGCATACATTGGTATGGGACAACATAATTAAGAAGGCAAGGGCACTGAATTCTGACTCATAGGCCAGATCAGCATTGTTGCCCATGCAACCATCAGATAGGTAAGCTGAGCAGCCAGTCTAATTAAGACAACTGAGCTGGCAACTTTGGAAATGCATCCAGTTATGGGATTTAAACTGGATTGGTTAACCGAAGAGCTTGATTATATAAGGGCACATCACTTATTTCAGTTATTGTGGAAGAGGTGTATTAGTGTACCATTAAATTGGCATATGAGAAACTACCTTTAAATATTTCAGAGCCAGCTGTAGTTTACAAGTAGGATGTTTATGTGTGTGTGTGTGTGTGTGTACACACACACACACGCCACATTGTATTTGTATTTTAATTATGAAAATACATTTCAAGAATTCATTAATAGTATTTGTTGTAAATGTTTTTCAGATCTACACACACACACACACAAATACTGAGCTCAAATCAAATGTACTTTAGTAGAAATACAGTGCTCTTGCAGTATCTCTGGTTCTGTGAGGAAGAGATTATGTATAAAGCTCTTATGGCACTGACCTTAACAAGCAGCTAAACACTTTGTGATGAAAGGGATAATCCCTAGCCATATGGAGCAGCTTCATCCCTGAGAAAAGAGAAGCCCCAACCCTCTTGACTTTCCAGAAGACTGGGAAGACCTGGCGGTTCCCCCAGGCATGGAGCCAGGATGTCTTTTGAGCCCAATGTATGTGTAGATGTTATGATGCCTCACTTTATATATTATGCTTGTGTTTTATGGGGTTTTAATGTATTCTTGTGGTTTGTTGTGAGCTGCTTAGGTTATGTATTTAAGATGGGTGGCCATATAAATGTTCTAAATAAATAAAAATTCCAAAGAGGACTGGAACAGATATTCTGTGTTGGGGCAGTTGGATGTTGAAAAAATCTAATTAGATTGGGAACCGTCATCTAAGCATTCTCAGCTGAATTCACAAGAAACAAAATTTTATTGGCTCTTCCGGGGTAAGTAGATAGATTAAAAAGTAACAACTTCATTTTTAAAGTTTATCTTGACTTGATCCATGGATTAAAACACAGAAATGTTACAGTTCACAGGAATACTTGCCATTGCTGAAGTAATTGTATCTCATAATTTTATTACATATTTATGCCCATATTATTGCAGTGTTAAACTGCATAGATGAACTTATTATTATACTTTGAGGGTTCAGCATAGTTGTTTTTAATTAGTCAACATGAGGTTCCATGAGTGGGTTGATGTACAGTACATGAACATTTTGTGTTGCAACCGCTTTCTAAGTAAGAAGACAGTATCTGAGTGCTTGACTACACTTTTTAAGTGATTATATAAAATTTATAATCAAATTTGATGCTACTTCCTATGTCAAGAATACTTCAGTGTCTAAGAACAAATTGAACCAGCAAGCTAAAATAATAAACAATAGATACTACTTCAGAATTCATTTAAATTTTTAAAAAATATTTAACGACAGGCTGGCAGATAATTGTAGTATGAATCCTTTGGCGTCACTGGAGTTTCATGGCAGCACCAGGGTCTAGAGGAAGTAATGGAAAGCAGGAGCACATGGATTAAGGGAGTTTCATATAAGTCTCAATACCTAATCCCATAATATAATATGGTTATAACAACACTCTCCTAACTGTACTTGAAGGATCGCCTGCACTTTTTTACTTTTTTTTTTTTTGGATTATGATTAGCCTTGGAACCTCATTTAAGTCACATTCAGAGAAGAGAGCTTTATTACTTCAACGTTTCCTTTACAGTAGGACTATCAATTCTGGGCTTTAAAAAGTCCAGTTGACCATTTGATGCCAGCAGAGAAAAAAAAAAAAACAGGTATCTGTTTGTTGCCATCTAATGTTCATCCAGATCTGCAAATTAGACCTCGTAGCACTACTTTATAGCCCTCCTTCCTCCTTAGTATCTGCTCCTGGAAAATAGAGGACATTTGACAATGATAAGGTAATCTGCAGATAGAGCAGAAGTTATCAGAAACTAGCACTTCCTCAGAGAAACATAGGACTGAGGTAGAATCAAGGGCAATATACAGTGTCCCAGAAGTAATAGAATACAGTAGTTATTGAAATAAATCTGAATCATTATAATAATGCAACAATGTTACATAGTCTCTGAAGAATATTCAGCAAATGCTGGCAATTTAGCGTCAATTTATCCCAAAGCTTAAGAATTGTCCAAATGCTGCCATAATATATATGTGGTTCCAAGCAAAACTATTTTTTGTAAACTAAATGTTACGAGGTCAAATAATTTTGTCAGCTATTTTGACAATTCTCTATTGTTGTTATTGTTATCATTATTATATTATCTCCTGTACAAACTTCATTTTTATCTTTTTTTTCTGATTTACTGCCCAATTTAGACTGCTATATAACTTCTGGGACATCTTGATAGTGTTTATCAGTTGATTTCAACACTGAAGATTTGTGATAGAGCTACTAAGTTTCAAATTCAGTGGCTTTTTAATAAAGCCACCAAGATTTTTCTCAATTCTAATGTATATTTTATGGTGTTTCTTTTTTTTTCTTTTTTTCTTCCAGTTCAGCTGAGGAGCAGTTTCACTGGCAAACACAAGGTAAAGTAAAATTTTGCAGAATTTTGTGCTGAATCTTGTTTCTCAGAAACTCTTCCTCCATGTGTTGTTCCCAGATTATGCTTTTTTATGGGGATACTATGTCTTGAGCAGGAAAAGTTCAAATAATATTTACAGTGGTGCTTAAAAGTTTGTGAATCCTTTTGAATTATCAATATTTCTGCATGAATATGACTTAAAACATGATCTGTTTTCCACACAGTCCTAAGACTAGATTAACAGAACCCAACTAAACAAATTAGTCAAAAACATTATACTTATTCATTGAGGAAAATGATCCAAGGCTATATATATCAGTGTGGCAAAACTATGTAAACCTTTGCTATCAGTACTGGTGTGCCCCCCTTGGGCAGCAGTAATTGCAACTAAACATTTCTGATAACTGTTGATCAGTCCTGCACATTGCCTTGCAGGACTTCTAGCCCATTCCTCCTTCAGAACAGTTTCAACTCAGGGATGTTGGTGGGCTTCCTCACATGAACTGCTCTCTTCAGGTCCTTCCACAACATTTCTATAGGATTAAGATCAGGACTTTGATTTGGCCATTCCAAAACATTGACTTTCTTCCACTTTAACCATTCTTTGGTCGTATGACTTGGGTGTTTTGGGTCATTGCCTTGCTGCATAACCCACATTTTCTTGAGTCTCAGTTCACAGACAGATACCCTGACATTTTCCTGTAGAATTTGTTGGTACAGTTCAGAATTCATAGTTCCATCAATGATGGCAAGCTGTCCTGATCCAGAGGCAACAAAGCAGGCCCAAACCGTGATACTGCCACTACCACGTTTCACAGATGGGATAAGGTTCTTATGCTGGAATGCAGTGTTTGCCTTTCGCCAAATATAATGTTATTCATTCAAGCCAGAAAGTTCTATTTTGGTCTCATGCATCCACAGAACACTCTTCCAATAGCCCCTGGCTTATCTGCATGGTCTTTTGCAAACTGTAGACAGGCAGCAATCTTCTTTTTTGGAGAGTAGTAATTTTCTCCTTGCAACCTTGCATGCACACCATTGTTGTCAGTGTTCTCCTGATGGTGGTCTGAAGAACACTGACATTTGCCAATGCAAGAGAGGCCTTTAGTTCCTTAAACATTACCCTGGGGTTTTTTGAGACCACTAAACACCTTGCTTTTGGTGTGATCTTGGTTGGCTGATCACTCCTGGGGAAGGTAACAATGGTGTGGAATTACCTCCATTTGCACACAATCTGCCTGACTGTGGACTGGTGGAGTCTAAACACTTTGGAAATAGTTTTGTAACCTTTTCCAGCCTGATGAGCATTAACAACTGTTTTTTGGAGATCCTCAGAAATCTCCTTTGTTCGAGCGATGACACACTTCCACATACCTGTGTTGTAAAGATCAGACTTTTATAGTGAATACCCAGAATTCTATTCTTTAAATAAGGCAGGACCTCCCACACTCACACCAGATTATTTTCCCATTGATTGAAACACCTGACTCTAATTTCCTCTTCAAATGAATTGATAATCCTAGAGGTTTGCATATTTTGCCATACATTAATATGTAGCTTTGGATCTTTTTCCTCAATAAATCAATGAACAAATCTAATTTTTTTTTACTCATTTGTTTAATTGGGTTCTCTTAGTCTAGTTTTAGGAGTTGTGTAGAGAATGGATAACTTTTTAGGTCACATTTATTCAGAAATATTGAAAATTCAAAAGGGTTCACAAACTTTTAAGCACCACTATATATTGAGAATGACATCTAGGCTCTAGCTTTTTGTAGTGAACAACTAACCTATTTCTTCCTGTATGTGAACAGAATGCAGTATAGTTATAACTAAAATAAACTGAAAAGCAAAATCTGTCCATTGTACAACATTCCTATATGTCAGAGTAGGCAATCTGTAGTGAGCAGTAAGCCCCCAGCTCCATTTTTGCAGCAAAGATCACACTTCTGAAATGTGGTGGTAAACTGTTGATTCACAGCAGGATATTTCAGTTGCTTGAAAAAAATAGTAGTAATATAGATATGTAAACTTGCTGATAGGCTTAATTCACATGTTTTTCAAATTCAAACACTTAATTAAAAATATAAAGAAAGTAGAATGAAAATTGTGCTCTTGATCACTCCAGTGACATTACTGGGTTATCACCATGTTTCCTGGTGAGAAAAAGAAAAGTTTAATTCCAGTCCATGGAAATTATCAGTCTTCAGTATTCTTAAATTACGATTAGCAGTTCAGACAGTTATGGAAATGGCATTAATAGTTTAGTAAACCTAGTTTTTTAAAGGTTTTTATCTTCAGTTTTCCAAATTTTTCTTTATGTCTTTCCAGATATTTGAAATATTTAAAATAGCATTTTGTTACAGATGGTCAAAAGGATATAGAAGATGAGCTTACAACTGGTCTTGAACTTGTGGACTCTTGTATTAGATCTCTACAAGAATCAGGAATACTTGATCCACAGGATTATTCAACTAGTGAAAGTAAGTTTCTCAAGAAGCTGGGTTTTTTTGTTGTAGCCTACCCTCAATTAAAACTTAGTCTGTTCAGAAAAACATGATGCTTTTAAGATAAAGGGCCTCAGGGCTATTAAAGATGTTTTTTTATATTATCTTAAATATTTGAAAGCTAGCAGTATTCACTGAGCAATTGCTTATGTACTGTATATATGTACAATAATCATCACACTGTTTTAGAGTCTTTTTACGAAGCACACAAAAAGCAGCATGGGATTTCTTTATGTACAAATAGCTTACAGGAGGAATGTGCAGAAATGAAAAAAACCCCAAGGGTTTAGAAGAGTTATTTATTTTGATAGGTCAAGATGACTAGCTTTTCTCCTTTATCAAAACTCTGAATTAAGTTTTCAGTAGATTTTATTCCACATGAGTAATATATGGCCATCAAGGAGTTTGCTTCTTATTAATCTATAATCAGAATGAATAAATAACCATTGTTGCTGCTAATGAAGACCCTCCCACTGTGATGGCCTTCAGATACTTCTTCCTGATTGGAAAACAAAGCCTAAATATATAACTCCAATACAACAAATGTTTTTTGTAAAGACCAAGTTCTTTCCTATTTTTCTGTTTTAATTATCTATGCTGGTATTGTTATTCCTCTTTCATGCTGCCTCATTAGGACATTTTACAGAAAAATTAGCCAACCATATTTTATCCTAGTGGGATCCATGTGATTTGTCTGTTGTTCAGTGTGTCATGAAATCCAGAAAATTAATTTAGTAAAACATGGTCAAATTAATCATGCTAAGTGTGACTTGCAAACATAGAAGAAGCACAGAAGCTACTCATCTGACTTGGCATCCGAGTATGAACATAGAATGAAAGGGTGTTTGTTGAGCTTTTGCTTTCCTTTAACCTATCCTCTCTTTTTAAATTTTACATGTGTGTGTATTGTTTCAAATATATTGGTATTCATTATATTCAGACCTCTTTAAGATAGTTTTGTATAAAATGGATGATGATGATGATGATGATGATGATGATGATGATGATGATGATATTCTGCTCTCTGAATCAGATATGAACAGAAAAGTGACTATATGACAATCTACTCTGTTCTCTGGTCTTTCTCCAATTAATGCAAAAATTCTGCAAAATTCCTAATGAAAGTTGGAGGCTAAGCAACAATGTAACATTTCTCTCCCCTCCCTTGTGCAACAAAGTGGGGCTGCAGTTTAAGTGCTAACTACCTGACAGGTAGCCCCTGACTTGAAAAGACTTATTTTCAATTCTGCATATCCTAGGAACTTTTTATCTTTCAGATACAGTGGACTACAGCTATTAAAAGCTCACCAAGCATGGCCAATTACCAGGGGTAATGGGAACCAGTACAATAGTCAACATTGCTAGCTCTGCAGAGATACAGTAGAAAGCAGAGCAAAGCATAGATGTTCTGTGAGCCTTCCAAGCAGCATCTCTCAGACTGAACGCTGAGACTTTTCTTTTCTCTTGGATCTCTAGAAATATAGGTGTGTGCATATGAGTGCCTATACACATCTTTTGGAGTTTTAGCACAGCACAGCTTTATTAGTTTCATAGAACATAAAAGGCTTCAAAGGAAGCATGTAATACCAACGAGCATCTTAAAGTCTGAAGGGTTGTTGTTGTTTTTTTTAGCAAGCATTCTTTTTCACAAGAGAAGGAAAATTCAGAAATTGCTGCAGGTGTAGGATTTTTCATTTAACAATGCTCAAAATTTGTAGCTAAAAAAGAAACAAGTGGTCCAGAAGAATATTTTTTTAATACTGGTGACTGTGTTTTAATAAATGTACTTCATTTGTGAATTATTACGATCCTGCTAAGTATTTTCCAGATATATTATAGAGATGTTTTATTCTGTGAATTAGATAATTATGACTAGAATTTTTATCAAGTTTTAGAATCTTTATTAAATTGAAATGCTACCCTGCTGGACTTCCGGGTGAAGAAAAATGGTGACACGTCTCCAAAGAGCAGAGACGATGCTGAGGTGACCAAGCTGTGAGCCCGGTTCATTGGAGCTTCTCCAGATAAGGAGAGACCAAGAGGAAGGCAGCTCCTAGTGAGGAAACCCACAGGATCCAGAGGGAACCTGCGGGCAACCTGCAGGTAAAAGCACCTGGAGAGATGGAAGAAACATCTCACAGCCTCAAGCAGAGTTTGCTGACGGACACTGGGTTTGCCCAAACTCCACTTTTTAAAGCACGTTTGCATTACAAATAATTTAAAAGCTACAGAGAACTTCTAAGCAGCAGAGCAACTAGACCACCTGGTGAGTGTTCCTTCGGCCTGGGGTATGATTAAAATGAAGTGCAAAGAAACAACTATAAGGATTTTAAAATAAATAAAAGCAAAAAGTTTACCAAGATTCTGAACTATGAGAATTTAAAATAGATAAAGGGGTCAGTTGAATTTGGAAAGATTTGCAAATATGGAAATAAAAATGAATAAAAAATTTGAACAAATTAAGGGAAAAATAAAAATTTTGGAAACTAAGACACAATGTTGAGAGATGGAAAAAAATCTGGTGAAGATAATAAGGAGACAGCCATTGAAGTCTTAACAAAATTTTTGGAATGGGGTGAAGACATGGATGCAGAAATGGACAAGGTGTACAAAATTAAAACATGATATGTAAATTCAAAAAATGTACCAAGAGATACTGTGCACTTTGTCAGAAAGAAGAGACCAGGCTTTATAACAACTGTGTGAGAGAAAATAACACACCTTCCAGATTGATAAACTCAAACAAAAAAAAGACACCATTCAGATGGGACAAATTGGAAGGAGTGATTAGATTTTAACAGAAAAGGCTACTACTCTATTGGGATGACCAGGGATAAAACAAGAAGTACTTTCATAAAAGACTGGAAACACTTTATGGACTTTTTGTTGAAATTAGATAAAAATGATGGTGATTTCTGGATTTGCTGATTAAAAAGAGTTAAATATGGGAAGATGGGAATTATATATGTAATCTTAAAGGGGGAGGAGAGAGAATAAGTTTGTAACTGCTGTAAAGAAGATCGGAAGTCACTTCTTTAAATACTTTTTTCTTTTTCTATCTGTATTGATTTCTGCATTTTTTTTCTTTCATCTTTTTACTCTTTGTTACTCTTTTTTTATATATTTTTTCATATTTATCTTTTATCTATGTAAACATTTCCAATAAAATTATATTTAAAAATAACAGTACCCCCTCTAAATCTAGTTCTCATACATATAAGTTATGTGTTAGACTTCAATTTGATGAATACATGATGACTTTAAATTGCTTAAAAAAAGAATGTATGTTGTTTTATCTTGAAATCAGAATTGTACTGAGTTACTTTTTCCCCTTAATAGAATGGATTAATGCATGTAACATTGTATCAGAGTATGCCACAATAACATTGTTAGTTAGAATTAGAATGCCCCCTTTTTAAGATGGTATTTAAACATTTAACTCTATTTTAAAAAATCTACTTTTACTACAGATGAAATAAGAGCTTGAATATTTTTTTAAAAAAATAAATATTCTTCAAATTCAATGATTTAAGGCTGATGTATGTGGTCACACTATTGCTTATATTTCATGGGGAAAAAAAATAAGGATATATGCATGACCTACACCAGAACTATATAAAGTTTATAAGTGCAAAACAGAAATTTAATTCTCTTTATACATTTGAGACAGAATATTCATAAAATCATATAAAGCAAAAAACATTGGGATTGAGGTCAAAGACCTAGTAGATTATTAGCCTCTCGGATGAAACAATGGCAGAAATATATCTATCTTTATTGTCAAGGATGCCATGAGTAAAATATACAATGATTCAAATCAGATATATCAACTTTTTATTTATTTTTTACTCTCAATTATATAAGTCTGAGTTAAATGTAAAAGAGGAAGAAATTAATTACTTTCAAAGAACTTTAAGTATGTTTCTTATGGTCTTAAAATGAGGCTAATTCAACAAAATATTATTTTTTATGTTCAGTGAAGATCCAAGACAATGTCACTATGTGAGATTGGTGGCTATATAAATGTGATAAGTAATGAATAAATAATAGTCTGGCTATTAATTTAATTATATTAGAAGTGTATGTGAGGTGAGGTGACAATCATACAATATGGGCTTTTACTATTTCTCCATTTGAATTTGCTATCCATGTGTTAGTTAATATGATGTTACAGAGGTATGTACAGTTTACAGTATTGTTTCAACCCTCAGTATTTTTATTAAATTTTTCTAAACCATACATCCCTTCAAAGTATATGCTTTGTGTATGTTAACTGCCAGAAGGATATGATATGCTTCTTAGTGGAAAGTCTGCTTGATTCCCTCCTTGGAAAAATGGCTAACCAAGTTGCAGGAATATACTTTGTTGTTCAGAATAGCTTCATGACTAATTTTACTATATCTAGCTTAGATACATGATGGATAAAGCCATAAATGGCTATTAGTCACGATGACTTTGTATCAGCAGTACTGGAATCAATATGTCTCTTAATTCCAATTAGGAAGAGGAAATCCTATTAAAACATGTAATCCAACAGAGCCAATTTTCATATATGTATGTGTACTGTATGTATATGTGTACGTAGATGTATATGTGTGTCTCTGTGTGTTCGTGTGTATGTGTGTGTGTATATAATAGCATTTACAAATATATATATAAAATTGCATTTACTTAAATAATTTATTGAAACTGAAAAAACTTATAGATAAATGCAGGTTTATGTGACAACTGCGTGAACATGGAGAACTGTTCCATTAGATTGCAGGATACAAGAAACAATTTCTGTGGCCCATCTCTTTCAAACTGTGACTTTAAAATAAACACTGGGAATATGTAGTTCTCTGCAGTTATAGTTATAAACATCAAATATGCCAGGTCTTTGTAATAATGGGAGAATCTGCATTTATGCAGTATGAAACATCATTAAGCTATTTTGAGTCATCAATTTGTTAACAGTCTGCTTTCTGCAATTCCCC